CCCAAAACCCCAAAACCCCAAAACCCCAAAACCCCGTCTATGTTTACGTGTAAAATATTAAATAAAATGGCTAAGAAGAATATTGACATTACTATCCCTATACCAGGTAAGTATACAGACACATTATTTGTTGGATATCAGTCATGTGCTCTTACTCAAGGTTATCAAGCCTTGACACCAACTTTTGCAATGCTAACTTTTGTTAACCAAAGAGAGATGAGTAAATTTGGCTTTTATAAAACATCCATGAATCCCTTTCAAATAATCATTATTAATTCTATCAAAGCTGGCTCACAATTTTGAATAAGTCTCTTGATATCTTTCTGCTGAGATTATGATTTTTGATAAATATGTTTCCAAAATTTTCAGAAAATAACAAACCAGGTTATGCAGCTTCCTATCAGCAATATTTACATAACAGCCATAGAAGATGTCCTTAAGGAATTTTGATATTCATAGGACATAGGCATCTAGCTTTCTTCACTACAATACTAGTCATATCGATCAATGTTTCCAGCTTTAACTAGCCAGTCAATTTCAGTCAGAAATTTGTAGTACACGCGTGTTTGATTAGTCCAGGTTTGAGAGACAATGGAGAAACCTTGCTAGGGATGATACGAAGAACACAAGTCAGGCTTTTAATTTGTTAGAGAATCATTTTAAACTGGCCCATGTGAAAGTATCGAAATTTTAGTTCATTTATGAAGATAGAGCTTCTGTGTCTCTTTAAACCATACAAAGCTTATTAGTATCTTTTCACTACCACTGATTGGTGGCTCGTAAGACTCGCAGATATACATCTCAAATGGTTTTCTTACACTATATAGACGATAAGCATGATCAATCTGTGACTGATGGCCTCCAAGTTCAGTAAGTATTTTTACCAAGAATCTCTCCGTACTAGTTATGCTTTCTAGAGATCATCCTTAATAGGCATTTTAAGGATCACCAAGTTTAGATGTTTAAAGACAATACACTTAATGTGCTATATTTTTTGTTTAACTAAAACTAAATTTCGAAGCAATGGTAATGAGCCAGCTCGGCTGTATTTGCTTCCAAAAGTTTTCATACATTTAATCATCTAATAAGCAGATTTGAGCATACTTATTGCAGAGTTTAACACATTTTAGAATTTTACATTTAGAATCTGATGTGCTCACATTTTATCTAAATTAGCAATATCATGAAGAATGAGTTATTTAGAGTTATAATACATTAGATACTCAAGTTTAGCTTCAAATCATAAAGATTGAATGAAGAGGTTTAGACAGCTCTGGGGTCGGATCATTTGGGATTTTTCCTTAATTCATATAAAATTATCTTAAATGTACAAAGTTAATTACTAGGCTACAAAATTTTTACTCTTAAGCCTACTATAAAATGAGGGGTAACTATAAATTATTTCTGTGAAATTCTTATGTATACTAAACGAAAAGAAGGACCAACTTAGTAAACTAAATGATCACTAAGTAATTTATACTTCTAAATTGTGTAAACACCTCTGAAACAAGTCAATTTTAAGTGGTAATTTTCTATCAGTCCCCCTCGGTTCCATCATCAGCATAAACACGCTTTGACAAAGCTTACCAGGATGTATCTAACCCTCTATAGGCAAAGCGAAGTAGATAAACTGTTATTCGTGCGTAAAATTATGAGCATTAAGAAACTTTTCGAACAACGAGAAAAGAGTAAGTTATCACTACTCGCCTAACCTCATAGCTCACAAAGAGTCAAGCATCTTTGAAAAGAATCGTAAATCAATGGCCAGAAGAGGCAGCCAAGCCTATATGGCCTTTGATGATAATAAGATCAAGAATAGGACCAATATTTGGAAAAACCTTAGCAATTTTGTACTGAAGAACCAGGACAAGTATAGTCTCAAAGAGCTGATCCTATTGAGACAGTGTAAAGCCTAAGATCCTAAAGGCTTTAAATGACTTGAAGCATATGAAAGATCTAGTGCTGGAATCACATGAGAAGTTCCAGAGTTATATCTTCAATAAGTTCATCAATCTTTCAGGAATAGAGGAGATTTCTCCTGAAATGACTGTCTTCTTGACTCTGATGTACGATAAATGGTACTATGAGCGGCTTAAAGCTGACCCAAAGTTCAAACTTGGAGTCCAGAAAGATGAAGAGACTATCCAAATGAAGAATGGCATGATGAGAGCTATTTTCTATAATGAGAGACCTACCCTAACCTCTGAGAGTAAGTAGCATGACTAATATATAGTGCATCAGATGAAACATCTGGTTTCCATTAATCGTGACAGAAAATTACAAATGGACCTGATTGAGAAACATGTGAAAAAGGCCTTCTTTCCTGATTTTAGAGGTTCAAGAAAGGTACCGATCTTAAAATGAGCGTTTAGAAAAAGAACTGGATCAAAAGTTTGTCCAAAGTTAAGGTCTCAAAGCTTAATAGGAGTATCTCCATCACACAGAAAGGTAAGAGAGATTGAGAAATTATATTGATATAGATTTGAACCCAAAGGCATTAGATTTAAAGAAATTAACTCCTGGTAATCCAGGATGAATGAAAAGAAAGAGTAAATCCTTCTTTGGAGTCTTGCCTGGAACAATTAACGAAGAATTAGAGCCAGCCTATCCAGAACATATAAAAAAGAATATTACCTCTAAAAATGCAATTCCAAAACCAATAATTCAGATTGAGAGCCCAGATAATTCACCTCAGTTTCCACAAAGTTCCCTTAAACTTCAAAAATAATATTTCAGAAATCCCACAAGCCTCAGAGATTGACCCTAAAAATCTAAGACCCCAAAAAAAGCACAAAAAACCCTCAAGAAAGCTCAAAAGACCTCCAAACGCCCTTAATCCCCCTCTAAAATCTAAAATACACCTTAAAACTAAAATGATCCACTCACCCACTCTTCCTAAATCTCCAGCAGCCACTCGCCATCCCCTAATCCACACCACATCAAGTAAATCCCCCTCTAACACCCCATCTAGACAAGCCTATCCTCAATAACACCTCTATTGTCCGTGAAAACAGGAAATGGATCAAAAAGGACGTCGTCACAAAAATAAAAACGCTTAAATTCAAGTTCAACAAGCGAATCAAAAGTATTAACAGAAATAGAAGTAGGGACAAGACTCCTTTCAGCCCAAAAGCTGTCCCTGATATTAAGTAAGATTCTAGAATTTCATATTGCTTACTGTACAGACTTGTCATACCAGAAATTGCAAGGAATGCTGTCAGTCCTAGCGCCAAGAATTCATGTAGGCACTCTTGCTTTATTGGTAGATAACAAATGAGCTGTGAGTCCAAGTCATTATTCAAGTACTTTTACTCAGAACAGGAGCATATGATACGACGTGTTCACTCCTTCACCTCAACTTGACTTCTCAAGTCATAAGAGGAGTATTCAGGAGACTTTTAGTAGGAAGAAACGTATTTTTCCTATCAAAATTGGTAGTTCAAAGGAGATGAAGTCTTTCAAAATGAAGCGAAGCTTCCCAATGCGCTTGTACAACCCTTCATTTGACATTGTTTAACATATTTTGTCAAAATTTAAACTCTCCAATTTAAGTTGAATATATTGGGGTTTTGGGGTTTTGGGGTTTTGGGGTTTTGGGGTTTTGGGG